GAGTTGGAAAGTGAGTAGGGACGAGGGAGAGGACAGGGTCACAGAAGGTGATTCCTAATTTTGTGTAGGAACCACTGTAAGTTTTATTTTTATTATTTTTTTAAGATTTTATTTATTTATTTGACAGAAACACACCGAGAGAGGGAACACAAGCAGGGGGAGTGGGAGAGGGAGAAGCAGGCCTCCTGCTGAGCAGGGAGCCCGATGCGGGGCTCGATCCCAGGACCCTGGGATCATGACCTGAGCCGAAGGCAGACGCTTAAGGACTGAGCCACACAGGCGCCCCATCCACTGTAAGTTTTAGGTTCAGGGCTGAGCTGCACTTGTCTGCAAGAGACCCAAAACAGCACAGCAAAGGCTTTGACAGCTAACAGTTACTCATGGGCCCCTGAGTGGTACACGTTCAGGACAGACCCAGAGCAACAGAGCAGAGGCTTTGAAAACTGAACTGAGATTGAAACCATCACAGAAGGTGATACAAAACCTGTAATGTGAACTCAATCAGGTTGATCGCCTGCTTAAACAAACATACATTCTCCAGAGGAGGATTTTAACAGGATCCAGAGGCAGCGCAATGTTAACTGTCACTATGTTCAGGAGGCGACAGAAAACGACCTGTGTAAAAATTAGTAAGAGGAAACTTTGTTTAAAATGAAGTCAGGAGGCCAGCAGGGGGAGCTCTCATGCCCTACCACTCGTGGTCAACTGCAGATCCAACAGCAGGAGACGTAACTTGCAAATAGGCAAGTTGGGTACTACTTCTAAATACTACCTTACTATCCTAGCAGGAAGGAAGAGAGGTTTTCCTCCTCCTCTGGCAACAACCCAGTCCGTGAGAGACCGTCACAACTCAGTCAATGAAAAGCCACTATACTTTGAATTCCCACTTTACTCCACTGGGCTTTTTGTTTATAACAGTTCTCCCAACTTCCCCCTTTCTTCCATAAAAGAGGAGTCCTCTCCTTTGTTCTCCAGACTTGCTAATGGCTTTGCCATTGCTTGCGGCCCCAGACTGCAATTCTCTGCTATTCCCAAATAAATCTATTTTTGCTGGTAAAATAACTACTGGCTGTTTTATTTATTTTTTATTTTATTTTTTTTTAAAAGATTTTATTTATTTGACAGAGACACAGCGAGAGAGGGAACACAAGCAGGGGGAGTGGGAGAGGGAGAAGCAGGATTCCCCAGGAGCAGGGAGCCTGATGTGGGGCTCGATCCCAGGACTCCGGGATCACGACCTAAGCCGAAGGCAGACGCTTAATGACTGAGCCACCCAGGCGCCCCTGGCTGTTTTATTTTTAAGGTTAACACCTGTCATACAAAGAACCAGGAAAATGTGGCCAAATCCTGAGGGAAAAGACAATCACCAAAACAACTCTGAGATAACACAGGTGTTGGAATATTCAAAGACTCTAAATCTGCTATTATATGTTGCAGGAGGTAAAGATAAACACATGTGAGAGAAATATAAAGAAAGACATTTTCAGCAGAGAAACAAAGCATGAAAAAGAACCAAGTGGAAATTTTGAACTGAAAAGTACAGTATCTGAAAGAAACAAGTTCACTGGATAGGTGTAATAGCACAGTGGAGATGATGAAAGAAACCAGCAGTGAACTTGAAGATAGACAAATTAACAGAAATTAGCTAAACTGCAGAGCAGAACGGGATAAAAAGGCTGAGAAACAGAACATAGGAGCATCAGGGACCTGTGACCAGAGAAAGTCTACTACATTCAAGAAACCGTCCAGGGGATCAGAAGGTCTAACATACAAGAAAGACAGGTGAAAGAGGCTGAGAAAAATTATGTGAAAAAGTAATGGCTAAAAACTTCCCAAATTTGGTGAAAGACGTATATTTACAGATTCCAGAAGCTTGGTGAGCTTGATGAACTTAAATTCAAGGAAAATCATGCCTAGATTTGTCAAAATCAAACTACTGAAAGACAAAGGTAAAGAAAAAAAATCTTGAAAGCAGCCAGAGAAAAATGAAATACTACATAAAGAGCAAGGATTGAATGCAGAGTCCAGGGTAGCTAAAAGACACTGGAACATCTCCAAGTGTGGAAAGTAAGGAACTATGAATCAGAAGCCTATATGCAGTGAAAATATTTTCAGTAATGAAGGTGAAATAAAGACGTTCTGATATGAAGTAAAACTTAGAAAGCTATTGTCAGCAGAATTGCCCTAAAAAAAAAATGCTGAAGATGAAGGGAAAGGATACCAGAAGGAGACCTGGATGCTCAGGAATGAAGGAAGAGCAACAGAAAATTTAAATATCTAGGTTAACATAAAAATCCTTATTTTTTTCTCTTAAATTCTTTAAAATATATATGATTATTGAGAAGATAGGCAGGAATAAGGCAGGTGCTCTTAGTTAGGGGAGACTAAGCTACTGTAACAAAAACTCAGTGATTTAAGCAACAGGTTTGGGGCATCTGAGTGGCTCTGTCAGTTAAGCACCAGACTTTTGATTTTGGCTTAGGTCATGATCTTGGTTGTGAGAATGAGCCTCGTGTCGGGCTCCACGCTCAGCAGGTAGTCTGTTCGAGGTTTTTTTCCTCTCTCTCTCTCCCCCTCTGTCCGCCCCCACCCCAATAAACAAACAAACAAACAAACCTTTAATAAAACAACCAGGGGCACCTGGGTGGCTCAGTTGGTTAAGCGACTACCTTCGGCTCAGGTCCTGATCCTGGAGTCCCTGGATCGAGTCCCGCATCGGGCTCTCTGCTCAGCAGGGAGTCTGCTTCTCCCTCTGACCCTACCCCCTCTCATGTGCTCTCTCTCATTCTCTCGCTCTCAAATAAATAAATAAAATCTTTAAAAAACAACAACAACCGGTTTTTTAACAGTCAGAGGGAAGAATTCTCTCTGGCCTTTCTGCTCACATTCTGTTGGCATCCTTAACAGCAAATTCAGCTGGGAAATGTAGGGGGCTAGGGCAGTCATGCGCTGGGTTATAATTCAATTACTTAGGAAGGGCAAATGGATTTTGATGAATAGCTAGCAGCCTCTCCCACAGCAGGTGAAAGAGAAAGGAGGCATTTTGGATAGAGGGGACCATATGATCAAAGGTAAGGAAGAGAGAAGCTACATGTAAGGAACTAATAGCAATTTTGATGTCGTTGGAATGTAAAGAGATAAAGCTAGAGAGGTGGGTGGGGAGCAAATGAAGTTGGATTTTATTCTTGAGGAGTTGAAGGGTTTTATGTAGCAGATTTTCATTTCAGTGAGCTACTCAGGGGTGAAAGATGAGAGAACAGAAGACTAGAGGGGAGAAAACCAATTAGGAACTCAGGGGAATAGTTTTGGTGAGAGGTGGTAACGTTTTAAAAGTAGGCTGTGATAACAGCATAGAGGGCTGGTTTCAGAAATATCATCTGTTGAGGTAAAATTGGCAGGACTTGATGAGGAGGGAGAAAGAGAAGCATCAAGGCAGGATCTCACTTTCCTTACAAAGATGACTGGGTGGGTGGTGATATCAGCATGGAGTATCAAAGAGCAGGGGCAGATTTATTTAGGAAAAAAAGGAGTTTGGTTTTAGGTGATAAAGATGAAATACTGTGAAGCTTGAATTCCTACAGAATAGTTTTGGTTATATTAAATCTCAGTGAGCCAGTTGGAGGTGTGTGAACTCCTCCATGGAGGAGGCACACAAAATCCTTTGTAACCTACTTCTCATATAACCTTCTATTCTCTTTAATACATACACATTTTGTTTCAGCCACATCAAACTTTTCTCAAAGAGGCCTTCCCTGACTCTGAAATCTACAACAGGTTCTCACATCACAGCCTCTGTACTTTCTGAGGTAAGCTGGGAAGGGCTTAATGACCAAATGGATGGGGCTGGAGAGATGGGTTGGAAAGGAAATGATGAGGAGATTTAGGTTTGTAGTCTGGGAGCCTAAGTGCGTAAAAGTAATTGGGTGCAAAAGCACATTTCCGATAGACAATAACAAATATTCACACGTCTTGAGGCCGTGGTCTGGTCAAAGAGCAAAAGGAAACAAAAAGCTGGAATTGGATAAAGAAGACAAGGCCTTTCCTTTTCTGCAGGCACACCTTTCCTCAGGGATCCTGGAAATCCACGTCCTGCTCCACTTCCTGACAACAATGGTATTGTCTGCAGGGACTGGAGCCGGAGTGTGCTTGAAACCTCAGCTTTGGGTCGGGACTTCTCTTGAGCTACTGTTACACCATGTACAGCCCCTGACCTTGGGCACGTTGCTACTTATTCTCTATGACTTAATCCAGCTGTCTGTAAAACGAGGAAAACGTGGGGCGCCTGGGTGGCTCAGTTGGTTGGGTGACTGCCTTCGGCTCAGGTCATGATCCTGGAGTCCCAGGATCGAGTCCCACGTCGGGCTCCCTGCTCAGCAGGGAGTCTGCTTCTCTCTCTGACCCTCCCCCCTCTCATGCTCTCTATCTCATTCTCTCTCCCTCTCAAATAAATAAATAAATCTTAAAAAAAAAAAAACAAAAAACGTGGAATTTGGAGTGTTGTTCTGAGGATTCATTGAGCTCATACCCGAGAACGCTTACATATGAGGTTCAACAAATGTGGTGGAGTGACAGATGGACGACATAGCTCAGAGGAGCTAGGGCAGCAATTCTAGAAAGCTGTATAAGGGACAGACCGGGCTCCCTTTGCCCTGAGGAGACCTGGGGAGCGGGTGCAAAGCCATACCCTGCCAATCTTGGCCCACTTTTTCGCCCGCAAGGGCGTGGCCGCGTCTTACCTCACGATCCGTCGGGTCCCAGGCTGCAGCTTCAGCTCAGTCCGCCACGGGGCGCCCGCTTGCGGGGCCTCTGTGGGCTCAGCTGTGTGTGATGCGGCGGCCCGGGCGCCCACGTCCGGTCTCCCAGGCAACCACATAAACTTCCGGTTTGAGAGAGGCCGCGGTTGGCGAGAGGCCACATTTCCGCCACGTGACCCCCTCCGGCACCTTGCCGGCTGAAGGGCTCGCGTCACCGGCCTGCAACACCCGGCGTTTTCCCGAAGTTCGACTTCCCCGCCCTGACCAGGGGGCAGTTCCTGGGGAAGTGGCTCCAGCCGGGACGGCCGGGCCTGCAGAGGCGGAGCCGGGGCTTGGCTCCCAGTGCCCGAGGCTCCGCTGAGAAGCCGGGCGGCAGCAAGACCGCTTCTCCTGAGCCGCCGAACTGGAGTTGGAGCTGGAACTCCGTGGGGCCGGGGCCCCGGCTGCCGGGCAGCGGCTCCTCGGGGCCGAGGCCGCGGCGGAGAATGAGGCGGTGGTGGTGGCGGGCTGCCGGCGGAGCCGCCAGGCTGGAAGCATGCTGCGCTGGTTCATAACCGTGATCCTGTGTGCTGCCTTCCTGGGGCTGGTGAGAGCCGGGGCTGGAATCCTCCCAGGCGGGGGCGTAAGCGGGCGTTCTGTAGAGAACGCCGGCTTCTGAGTTCGAGTCTCGCCTCTGCCACTTGCAAACTGTGTGACCTTGGGCGCGTTCGTCTGCCCCAGCCTTGGTTTCTTAATCTGAAAAATGGGCACAGTTCTGTTGGTTATTGTCAAGTGGGAAATTGATTTTCCTAATATATTTGCCAGTTCCAGCAAACCTTCCTACTTCTACGTGGCGTGGGGGAGATAGATGCAAGGGGGTGTTGCCAGGTCTATAGCCCCTCCCCCTTGAGCCCACGCAGACCCCAAATTATTACACAGAGCTGCTTTTCTGGGATTTCCGATTCCTTGTCTGACCAAATTCAGCCAACTCCTTATTTTTGCAGACGGGGCAAAATAGACCCATAGAGGGAAAATGACTTTTCTGGACCGCACAGCTGGTTTTAAGTGGTGGAGGCAGGAATAATATGTCTCTTATTCTACCCACAATCCTATGTAAAACAAACCTTTAGATCCTTCAGTTTTTGTTTTTGTTTTTAAAAGAGAACTGCAAAGCTAGAAGCGCCTTTTGACAAACCCCTTGGGTGCCCCACGATTCCCTTATTTCTGGAGATGGTCCTCTCATCACTTGTCTGGAATATTTGGCTCTTGGGGATTTGGTAGGGTGAGTCCTCTGAGGAGAGTCACTTCTCAGAGAGTCCTCTAAGGAAGTCACTTAGCGTCTTTCGCTTGAGCCACAAGGGATTCCTGGAGTATTTTAATTTGAAAAAAGAAAAATCATTGCAGACGCTTCTTGAGCCCTCACCTTGTGCCAGGTCCTGTTTTAAGTGCTTTACAAGGAGGAAGTAATTTGATTGGAGATGGAGCTCAGCCTTCCCTCCATGTACCAAGTGCTTGCTCTGCTCTGGCTTGGGCAAGACGCACACCCGTGTTTTGAGCAGAGCAGTCCAATTAGAATGAATTATTCTTGAAGCATAGACAGAAGCATTTTTTTTTAAGTGTCCAACAAATATTCTCTGATGGCTTGGGGTTTTCTTTGAAGAAGAATACAGATTTAGAAACGTTTGATTTGTCTATTTTCTGTGTATTTTGTATGTGTCAGAGGAAGGACACCATGTGCATCCAGAAATATTGCTGTTTTTTTTTTTAAAGATTTTTTTTTTTATTTATTTATTTGAGACAGAGAGAGAGAGAGAGAACACATGAGAGGGGGGAGGGTCAGAGGCAGAAGCAGGCTCCCTGCTGAGCAGGGAGCCCGATGCGGGACTCGATCCAGGGACTCCAGGATCATGACCTGAGCCGAAGGCAGTCGCTTAACCAACTGAGCCACCCAGGCGCCCCAGAAATATTGCTGTTTTAACACCATAAAAAAACAGGAATGCTGTTTTAATGGTTTGATAATTTAAATTTTTAACATCTAAATTACTGTGTTATTTGTGCATATAGTATATTTCAAAGTGCACAAAACTATTTCAGAAATGATTTTGATGTTACATTTTACTGTTAATACAAGAGTCTTTTGTGGTATTGTTCAAAAAGGAAACAAAATTGTAGCAGCCAGAAAAATTAAAGAATTTTTTTTTAGACTTGAGAGTTGTCAAAACTAGAAAACCAGTAGTATTTGACACACCAGATGCAGTAGCCTATAGTCTAGGAGTCCTAGTACTGTCATCCTGAATTTTTCCAACTGTGAGATTTGAAGTAATCCCCTACATTACACTGAAAACCCCTCCTCCTTTTTTATTTTTATTTTTTAATTTAATTAAATTTTTAGATGTGGGGGAGGGGCAGAGAGAGGGAGAGAAAGAATCTAAGTAGGTTCCAAGCCCAGCATGGAGCTTGATCTCACAACCCTGCGGTCATGACGGAGCTGAAATCAAGAGTGTGAAATCCAGAGTCGGCTGCTCAACCAACTCAGCCACCCAGGCGCCCCTCCTCCTCCCTTTTTAATAGTGAAAAAAACTACCACACAGATAGACATTATTTTAATGATTGTAAATGAAAGGTTTTGTCTTTTTAAATTTTAGGGAATGAGTGTTGCTATACTGGGACCGACATTTCAAGATTTGGCAACAAATGTGAACCGCAATATTAGCAGTCTTTCTCTGATTTTTGTGGGCCGTGCCTTTGGATTTTTAAGTGGCTCAGTGATTGGTGGAGTTCTTCTTGACATTATGAATCATTTTCTACTTTTGGGTAAGTAAAGACCAATTTTAGCTTTTTATGACTTCCAAGGGATTTACGCTTTGTTTTTAAAAATGAAACATTTTATGGTTGACAACTCAGATGAGTAGTGTTCAGGCGTCCTCGGTGAAAATCAGGTTTCCTTGATGCCTGTTTTCATCTCAACAATTATAGGGAATCCATGCAGGGCCGCTCTGGAAATTTAGATTAGCCCTAGAATGTGTTACTATCTTTAGCCTTCCTGACCATCAGTGTAATTTAGGCACCACCCCTGGATCACATACTAGTTGTCCAAAGAACTCTGCTTGTCAGGGTTTAGGGCAGATCTCCTGGGGCCACCAGAGATCAGAATGAATTCCTTGAACCTGCCCAGGCTAGGCCCTGAACTGAGAATGAAGGTGGGAAGTACTGGGGGCAAAAGGACGTAGGCTAAATTTTTGTCCCAGCCGTCCCATGTTAATGATGCCTCCAGACCTCTCTACCTCGCCCTTCAAGTAGATGGCAAAGCTTTTAACTTACTCTCTTTTGAATAAATAGACACGTTTAAAGAAAATCTGGATTAATGTGATAAAAGTGCTTTGGAAGTAAGGACAATAATTTACTGTTGTTGATGAATAAATGAATAATTACTCAGATTTCCAAAGTGGGTTGAGAACATATAGATCTCTTGTATTTCCCTCCTTATTCCCAAGCTAAATTACTTAATACATTTCTACTACAAACTATCATAAATGCATTTTATTTTTCTTTTTAATTTTTTACCTCATACCTAAAAGTTTTTTTATTTATTTGAGGTATGTATGTGTGTATGTATTTATTTATTTAGATTAAAAGTCTCTTTTTAAAATATGAAATATTTAAATAAATTTTTGAGTTGTCAGTTTTGCTATAAAACTTTGCCCTGTAGTATATGGTTTGATTATCAGCAATGCTAGAAATGTACTCACATTAGATTAACTTATATTTTATAGTCCATAAATATTATGAAAGCTTGTAAAGGAAATAACCATTTATGGATGCTGAACCTCTCATCCACTTACTGTTACCCAATTGTAACTTGACCTACTTTGCATTTATGGGAATTTCTATGATGTTGACTTGATTTATGACTCCTTGCATGAATATTGTTTTTTATAGCTGACTTTTACCTTTCTTCTCAGGGGTGTCAATGTTGACCACCACAGTTGGTCTTTATCTTGTTCCATTTTGTAAGACAGCAGTATTACTGATTGTCATGATGTCCGTCTTTGGTGTTTCAGCTGGCATTCTGGATACAGGTCAGTGAGCCCTGCAGGGTCATCTCTGGGAGTAGGGACTTTCTACTAGAAAAAGTAGAGCAGATGACATCAAATTGTCATTTGCAGTGTAAAATGACACTGACCTACTGAATTGTTCTTGGCGTCACCCAGTCAGAACTACCCTCTGGCAGCTACTCTTCTTGCCAAGTAGGGTGCCTGTTTTTGGCAATTCATGGAGTGAATTTAAGGAATTTTGTTCAGTGAGAGATTATTGATTTGCAGTACCCAAACAGGAAAGGGTCCCCCATGTGGGTAATTATGGTGCCAGTGAGTGGGCTTTCATTTTGGGACAGAACTTTATCAGTGTAGTAGGGGAGGAATTCATGGGTTAATAGGTTAAACCAACTTTGGAACCATATTTGACTGAGGAATCAAAGAAGCAGCTATCCAATTTAAAAAGCCCTCTGCCTTTTGAACTAAGAGAAACCTGTGCTGTGTATGACTTTCCTTCTCTTTTTTTCCCCTCTCAAAAGCTCCTGTCTTCCTGCAGGAGATCCTCTTCATGTGTCTTGTTATCTTTTAAAACCTACTAAACAACATACTTGGCATTTGTCCACCCCTAAAACCAGCTCTCTTCTTCCCCTGCTCTGTTGTTACCTGATGTATCGGGGATATTTTATACTTTAGGCTTAGTTTGGTCGTGAAATTATGGGGTACAATTATATGTTTATCTGCAAATATGTTAAAAAAAAAGAGAAAGCTAACACAACACTTGATGCTTCTTGCCTTTCACCTTTGATTCCTGTAATGGGCCCAGCAGAATTCTACAGTGTTCAGGTTTCTGAACATGTGTTTTGCATCTGCTATATACCTAAATAATTTTCCTCAACTGGTTATTTGGTAATTTGGCCATTATCTCATGGTAATATATATTTAAAATGTTTACAAATAAATATCCACCTCTTTCCCACCCTCCCCACCCCCTGCCAGCCTCGTATTAGAACTGTCTTGTAAAAAGCCTTGGGCTAAGGTGCCTGGCTCTAGGAGGTCGTGGTTTACTAGCTTGTAGAATCCATTTGTGAGTATGTGATGTTCCGATGCTTAGAGTTCTGTGGTGGTGGTAGGTTAGAGTTCCTTAATCATAAAATCGACCGAGTTGCAACGTTTGATGACTGAGAATACCTTCATCCTTGTGCCATGTGAAATAGACTCATCCTCCTCCTGATAGTAGTGAACCATTTTTTGCTAAGTTACCATGATTAAATAATTTTCCTCATCTTTCATTGGTAGGTGGTAACGTCCTAATCTTGGCTATCTGGGGGGACAGAGGAGCCCCACATATGCAGGCCTTACACTTCAGTTTTGCCTTGGGTGCCTTTTTGGCTCCACTGCTGGCTAAGTTGGCATTGGGCACGACGGTGTCTGCTGAAAACCACGCAGAGCCTAACTCTAACCATTCTGCCCTCAACCAGTCATCTGACGCTGACTCAGAATCTCTACTCGGAGTACCTGACAATATGAATTTACTGTGGGCGTATGCTGTTATTGGTACTTACGTTTTTGTAGTTGCTACCTTTTTTTTGGCTCTGTTTTTAAAGAAGAGCTCAAGGCAGGAAAAAGCAAAAGCATCTGCTCAGAGGTCTCGAAGAGCTAAATACCACAATGCCCTTCTTTGTCTCCTTTTTTTGTTCTTCTTTTTTTATGTTGGAGCCGAGGTAACATATGGCTCTTACGTTTTCACGTTTGCGACCAGCCACACAGGCATGACGGAAAGTGAAGCGGCTGGGTTGAACTCCATCTTCTGGGGGACCTTTGCAGCCTGCAGGGGCCTAGCAATCTTTTTTGCTACATGTTTACAACCTGGAACCATGATTGTGTTAAGCAACATTGGCAGCCTGACATCATCCTTATTGTTGGTGCTTTTCGACAAGAGCCCAGTTTGTCTCTGGATAGCGACTTCGGTATATGGGGCCTCGATGGCAACCACGTTTCCCAGTGGTGTTTCTTGGATTGAGCAGTACACAACCATCCATGGGAAATCTGCAGCATTTTTTGTAGTCGGTGCTGCCCTGGGAGAAATGGCTATTCCTGCAATAATTGGAATTCTTCAAGGACAATACCCTGATTTGCCTGTAGTTTTGTACACCTGTTTGGGGGCATCGATAGCCACTGCTATTTTATTTCCCGTGCTCTATAAATTGGCCACCTCACCTCTCAGTCAGCAGCGAAAAGAACACACAAAAAGCGAGGACCAGAAAGCTTTGCTGTCTAGTTCTGAGCTAAATGACTATGAGGAAGACAATGAAGAAGAGGATGCAGAAAAATGGAATGAAATGGATTTTGAAGTGATTGAAATGAATGATACAATGAGGAATTCTGTAATAGAGACATCTAAAAATATTTTGATGGAGCCCTTGGCTGAAATCTCCAGTCAATTCCACTCCAGTGCAGTGGTATTGGAGTCCCCTCAAGTTAATAGTGGCCAGTTCCCTGTGAATCACCTTGCAAGAAACCAGGCTAAAAGGGACTAACACCTAGAGAAGATGGATTATTCTGACCTCCTTGAATAATCTCCACTTGTAAAGAAGCCAGTCAGAGCAGAACATTAACAGATCTTCAACATGCTTTGGGGATCAAAATTTCTAGGTCAGAGTATAGCAAATGCTACAAAGTTTTGAAAGGTTCTGTAATTCCAGAGTTTTCCATAAAGAACAAATGGTCTCGTCTGGCAGGATCTTACTGTGAGGCTGGTGTTTGGCATGTGGCTGATTAGGTAATGTTTTATGGTCTCCACCCCTCAGAGCATGCAAAGAAGGTGTTTGTTGTTGAGAAGTTGGGTGCTGTTCTAATAGAACGAAACCATCTAATAGTTGAATTGATTAGCTGAACAAATGATCAGTCTTCAGTATTCTACCAGGGAAGTAGAGGAGTGTCCTTTCATAAAAGAGCAACTTTGAGGGCGCCTGGGTGGCTCAGTTGGTTAAGCGACTGCCTTCGGCTCAGGTCATGATCCTGGAGTCCCGGGATCGAGTCCCGCGTCAGGCTCCCTGCTCGGCGGGGAGTCTGCTTCTCCCTCTGACCCTCCCCCCTCTCATGCGCGCTCTCTCTCTATCTCATTCTCTCTCTCAAATAAATAAAATCTTTAAAAAAAAAAAAAAAGCAACTTTGAAAATGGACAGAGATTTTTATTAATTGCTTTGCCCTCCCTGTAGTGTTGCGCTGGAGAATTCTGATTCCTCATTTGATTTCTGATTTCTATCAGGAGAACACAGAACAGGGCCCTAGAGACCCGGCTTCAGGACTGCTGCTCACTAGTTTTTTCTGGCCCTGCACTCAGTCCTTAAATAGGCCTTGTTTATCTGTCTCCTGATCTGTGATTCTATTAGTGAAAATGAGATGATTTTCAAACTAGGAATCCATAAGTTTCAAAGTTTGTGCAAGGAAAAAAAAAGTAAAAACAAAAGTCTGTGCAGTGTGTCTGTTAGAAATAACCTAAGTCCTATCCATTCTTCATTTCAAATGAGAAGTGAAACAAGAGCGATAGTTTTGAGAATACTGATTGTGAATACATGTCAATTTAAGAGACTCAGTGTTTAATAATTACCTGCAAAACACATTTTTCAGTACTGTGTTTCATCAGTTCTAAGATGCACCTTTTTTCACATTTTTAACATCTCTGAAATCAGAATATGTCTTAAAGTCAGTGGTCACTTAACATTTTGTGACAAAATTTAATTGACAGTTATCCATGTACATATACAAAATAATGTTGCATGTTATAATCGGTGTCTTACAGTAATTCATTCAATTATGGAGATTTTACTATTTTTACAGATATTTTAAAAAAAAGTTATTTTTATATGCTGATTTTCTTGATGTTCAAGTGGGATTTGGAGATGCAATGTTCCAACTTTAAAAGCTGCTTGAGAATTACTATGTTAGTAGTGGGGCCTACCTTAGTAATGAAGTCTGGGTCTGGGCCTTGCTCGTACAGGGTTTGTTCTTTATTGAGTTTGGCTGGTAATTACATTGTAAGCACTGTAAACTACGCTGCTAGTTTAATTTACAAAGAGGCACAGTCTTTTGCAGTATTTGGAATATTTGTTTCACCCACCCAGGGCTCTTCCTTCCTGAGTTTGAAATACCTGGGAAACCAAAATAATGATTAGAAAGGGGCTTGGTGGCCTAGGGGTCAGGGATCACAAAGGGTACTTCATATGAGTGTGGCAAAGCTGGTGTGAGCTCTCCTTTGATAAATGACTAGCACTGATGACTGCTTTTGTTTACTTCTCTTTACCATGTTTTATGGTGAATAACATTTAATTTCTACCTGCTTGCAGTATGTTTGCTTTCTCTTATTTATCTAATTTCTACAAATTTGCCTTTGTTTTTTCTCGAGTGAAATGTATCTTTTTTGACCACTGCTCATTCACCTTCAATACCTGCCATAATATGGGTTTGTATATATAACCTAGCAATTTTGGAGAGGGCCGGTGGAGAAATGAACAGTAAAAAGTGTATTCTTCTTGCTTTTTTTGTATTGTACTTTTCTCTTAGCTACAACTTGGAGACCACCTGTGTTCCATTTACTGCTTTTTCTCAGGTTGTTGGAATTTAGACAGTAGATGCTATTTGGCAGCTGGGACGCTTGCTAGAACAGGGATTCTATCTGCAGCATCTACATTTAACGGGTAGAAGATGCAGCTCAGGGAGAAAAGGATGATAATAAGAACATGGCAGAAAATTTGGAAATCCACACTGGAAAATCCACAAGAGTTCCACAAACCAAAATGTGAGTGGCCATATGAGATTGTAGGCATTGTTTTTTTTTTTTTTTAAAGATTTATTTATTTATTTATTTGAGAGAGCGAGAATGAGAGAGAATGCATGAGAGGGGGGAGGGTCAGAGGGAGAAGCAGATTCCCTGTTGAGCAGGGAGCCCGATGCGGGACTCGATCCCGGGACTCCAGGATCATGACCTGAGCCGAAGGCAGTTGCTTAACCAACTGAGCCACCCAGGCGCCCGTGATTGTAGGCATTGTTAAAGTTTGATGTATTTCCATATTGGAAGGATAAGACTTCGTACAATTCCAAGAATTAGCATTCATTCTAATAATCAGTCCCTAGGTAAGTGTCTGCTGATATACAAGTAGCCAATACTGAAGTTTTCTATTGCTGAATAACAGATTTAGCAGTTTACAACAACATTTTTGTTTATTTTAAGTAGGCTCCACGCCTAGCATGGAGCCCAACGTGGGGCTTGAACTCACAACTGTGAGATTGAGACCTGAGCTGAGTTCAAAAGTTGGTTGCCTAACCAACCAAACCATCTAGGCGCCCTAACAACAGACATTTTTTGTCTCACAGTTTCTTGAGTCAGAAATGTGGGCATGACTTCACTGGGTCCTCTGTTGAGGGTCTCGTGGGGCTGCTGCAGTCAAGCTGTTGGATAGAGCTCTGCTCCATTTTGGAGCTTAGGGTTCACTTCCAGGGCCATGTATGTGGTTGACAGTATTCAGTTCCTTGCTGTGGTATGCTCAGGTCCCTGTTTTTTGCTGGCTGTGGGCTGCCATCAGCCCCAGTTCCTAGAACCTCCCATGTTTTTTTGCCAGGCAGCCCTCTGTAGATCTCTCACAACATGGCAGCCCATTTCTTCAAAGCCCAGCAGGAGAATCTCTCACCCCAGTCTGCTAAGCTGGAGTCTTCTTTAACATAATCACAGGAGTGGCATCCCTCACCTTTGCAGTATGCTCTTGGCTAGAAGCAAGTCACGGGTTCTACCCAAACTCCAGGGGGAGAGGCTAGTGCAGAGATGCGACTCATTGGGTGTTACCTTAGTGTGTGTATGCTGTACACACTCTGGTACTTGCAAAACCACGGTGCAAGAGAACTAAAAAGTTGGAGCTGGGGACAAGAAGCCCTCAGCAGTCATCGAAAGTGATTATAGGTACCAAACTGAGTGAGTGGGGGTGGAAGGCTCCATTAGGCCAGGCCAATGAACCTGATAGAAGAGATTCTGTTTGTGGGGCAATGGATGGGCTAACTCAGAGTTAGGCTTTTTTTCCCCTTGACATTTTATGTTCTTTCCCACTGTGATTTTAACTTGTTCAAATGCAGCTTCCTATAAGAGAAATAGGTAAATTTCAGTTTAGTTATATTTTCATAGTAATAATTTTCAAAGTAAAGATGCTTTGAGGGCATCTTTCAGTTACTCTTATTTTTTAAAGAAAAATCCTTTTAAAAAACCTGTTTTTATCATAAAAGTAATGAAGGTATTAAAAAGTCAGCTGGAAGATTGGGGAAGTGCATAAAAATGTAAGGGACAAGTATAAGTAATTTATGCAAAGTTTTTATTTTTTAATTTTTTTTTAAAGTAAGCTCCTTGCCCAATGTGGGGCTTGAATTCCCGACCCCTGAGATCAAGTCATATGCTCTACCAACTCAGCCTACCAGGCACCCTTGTATAAGTTATTTATTTATTTATTTATTTATTTATTTATAAAAGATTTTATTTATTCATTTGAGGCACAGAGATAGAGAGCATGAGCAGGGGGAGAGGCAGAGGGAGAGGGAGAAGCAGGCTCCCTGCTGAGCAGGAGCCCGATGTGGGGCTCGATCCCAGGACCCCGGGATCATGACCTGAGCCGAAGGCAGACGATTAACCATCTGAGCCACCCAGGTGCCCCTGTATAAGTAATTTATAATTCTAAACACTTAGAAAAGTTCTTAAGATTTCTCCTCAACATAATTTCTTGGGTAAAAGGGTGAAAAAAAAAATTCCCTCCTACCAGATAAAGTTTCAGAAACAACTTGAATTTTGTGTCCAGAGTGCGTTGCCACTGCAGTTGTTGGACTGGTTATTAGTTTGAAGAATTGTAACTTATTAAACAAAACAAACCAAACCTAATTGATCAGTGGAGTAACAGCCTCCTAAAAACTGTGAGACCCGGATTACATGTAAAATGATTGCGTTTCAGGTAGAATCATTGAATAATCAGGATAGCTTTCTCATAACCAGAACTTATGGTTTCCCATAGCAGTATATCACTCCTGCCACTTAAAAGTTATTACTAAAAGAGAGCTTAAGTTTCTTAGTGGAAGTAGATAACATTCTTCTGGGATACCCTGTATCTGTATCTGTTAAGTGCCACTTGTTTTGTTCATAGTGCTCTGAATGTGTGTTTGTGTACGTGAACTCACAGATATGATGTGTGTTTGACATTTTCCTATACTGTAGGGGTGCAGTGGGGGTAGAGGTGGTAGAGAAGGGATACAAAAAAGCTTAAGGTATGATTCCAGGTTTGTTAGAAATGGCCCCTTTTTTAATTGAAAATTTTATTGCAATTATTATAGATTTACATGCAGTTGTGCCTAGTGTTTTTGTTTTTTCTAAATTTGTTGAGCGAGGGATACTTGCTCAATCTGGAGAGTAGAGAACTAGGCTAGTGCTTCTCATACGTTAATGTGCATTTGAATTGCTTGTTAAAATACAGATTCTAATTCAGTAGTACCTGGGATAGGGGCTGGGATTCTACATTTCTTTTTTTTTTTTTTAAAGATTTATTTTTATTTATTTGACAGAGAGAGAGAGAGTGAGAGAGGGAACACAAGCCGGGGGAGCGGGAGAGGGAGAAGCAGGCTTCCCGCAGAGCAGGGAGCCCGATGCGGGACTCGATCCC